TTATTTTTATAGAGAAATCAACTAAAGCACAGGCACAGCTAGAAAGTCACCCCAGGCTTCTGACTCCCCTTTAGTTGTTTTTCCACTCCAGCAAGGCAGCTTCCTATCCATCCTGCCACAGTCACCACCACGCCTCTGAGAAAGGCTGATTACTTCATTCACCATTTCTATTTAAAAGAGTAGAGAATGGTTTTGCCCAGTAAATTTCCCAATCACTAGAGGTAAGTTCTCAGGAATCAGGAAAATTCAGCCATTTAAAATGACTCATTTCCTGAGGACATCCGAAAGCCACGGTTTTACGCTACTTGGTCTTGGAAAATCAACAGGGTGGAGTTCTTCCGGATCAATCTTAGAGGTCATCCCTTGGGAGAGGTCAGACAAATTAGGTGGCCCCTCGTTGGAGAATGTGTCCTGTTTCTCTAAATTGCATTTGAGGTTTTATCCCCAAGGCTGTCTTTAGTGGATCAGAAGGAATACATTGAAGGGAGAATGGGTAGATAATATTTGCTAAGCGTTAATGGCAGTTTCAAACAATTAAAGAAGTAGACCACTAAAATGATTCATCTTACCTATGTGCAATTTAGTGACACAATGATTTGAATTTTATCACATGAAGAAACTTACAATATATGAGAGACTAATACAGTTGAAAATATGCTGTCAACTTCTGAAAAATTTAATCTGTGTATATTTTAGTCCAGTGAAATTTAGATTTTCTGGTTGGATTTTTTTCCTAGTCATGTTTTTCTTTTGGATTCTTTTTTTCCTCAACAGGAAATAGAAAATAAACATCTGACCTTAGCATAGTTAACCTCAAATAAATTAATGGGTGGAATGAAAATCAGACAAATAAATCAGGGTGTGTATACTCTGAAAGGAAATTGCAGACTGTAGCACATGATTCAATATTATTTGAACAATGAAATGCCTTCCAGGCCATTCAAACAGTGAAAAATTCACAGCATCCCTAACTTTGAAACAGATTGTAAATTTAAATGACTGAAATAAAATATAAAGCCAAACTTTAGTCATATACATACATCTTCTGTGGATCTTTAGTTAAGGTTAAAATTTTAAAACACTAAACCAGAGAGCCCAGTCTTACACACTTTCTGAGTATTGTTAATTCTAAATATTTTCCATAAAACTGTGCTTTTAGAGATGCCATGACTATTTTGTATAGCAGTACACAATTTTTTCCCAATGCATAAGAATCTCTGTGGCCAACTTCCTGAGGGCTGAGTTTATTTCACTTCTATCACTGAGAACTATTTCATATAATTGGACAAAAAAAAAACAAAAAGTAGAAATTATTCCAAATGGAAGCTCTAACTTGTAGCAATATATTTGTTTACAGAAGGTTGCATGACTCGTGTATCATTAGGAAAAAAGTAAATAGATATACAGGGACCATTCACCTTCTTGACATTTAAGAACACAGTGTTTCTGAGACATCTTTTTTTAAAAATTATAATCTAATATTTACTCAAAAATTATAATCTAATATTATTACTGTAAAAGAGTAGAGTGAGCTTACAGAATTTTGAAGGTTAAAATACAACAACTTATGAGAAAGTCCTTTCAAATGGAAAGTCCCATTAACTCATCCTTGCCTTCCATTTTTGACTGAGGCACTGCTCCCTCCCAGTGGCTATATCCTATTAACATGTTGTTGAAGTTCGTTCTTCAGAGATAATATGACTGGGGGAATGGAGGAGAATCATGTCCTGACTACCTATACTTTATTAATTCTGCTTCAGGAAATACCACTTGATAAAAATTTAGAACCCCTTAAATGCTTAAGTGGCTGTTGTTTCTCAGGAATCAGAATTACCCAACACTTGAAAAAGTTCTCTTCAGCTCCTAGAACCAGATCTCTATGTATCTTTTCAAAGGGGGAAAAAATAAACTTCTCCATACCCCAGAAGTATATGACAACATAACATGGTTTCTCTATAATAAAATCTTAAGTTTAATTTATTGAAGTAATAATAACAAAGAAGTAGCCAGATAATCCCCGTAAACAATCCAAAAGAATGAACTAAGACTGTGCAAAAGAAAATCCAGTGAATATTCATGCTGGTCTTTAAAAAATCAACCTGAAAAATCACTACTCTGCTCCAATTCAGTGAATCTTGAATTTTTTGTGGGTGGGAATGGGAATAATCTCCAACAGGACTTTTGTAAAACATACCTGTAGAAGTAAGTCAAGAAGGACTTAATCTATTCTGACAGTCAATGTAGCAACATAGACATTGCTTAAATTATTCATCTTTCCAACAGAAAATTCCCCTCCTGGAGATCTCAGGATTGCATTAGACCCAAGCTAATTCAAACACGAATTTATTTGAAAAGTAAACACATAAAATAAAATTTGTCCTTGCACAGCTCTGCAGTAAATAGCACTGGAATTTGTAGTTTAAAAAAAAATCTACATCTAATTTTCTAGATAATTTTTCCTGACCTGTGAAGAATCCTTTTAATGAAATTCTGCTTTGTTTCATAAATAATGCAATGCTTGCTGTGACTAGGTGAACCTAATTAGATAGTGAAAGGATATTACTAGCAGACAGTGCTATTACCGTGAATAAACAGTGTCTATACCTTTTCCAGTTAGAAGTCTATCACTGGTGCTCACAGTGACTGACTAAAGAGTAGTAGCAGTGTCCTTCTGGAGGAGGTGGGCTCTGTTACATGCAGCCTCTTCCCTGACTCTAGCTGGGCATGAAGACCTCTTCTCCTAAGCCTCAGGTTTCTGAGCTGCAGACCCATTCTTAGAGCACAAGGCATATTAAAGACTTCATAATGCCTCTCTTGTCCTTACTTCACTTTTCAACACTTGCTTTGATTTCGAGAGTTCTGTGCCTTGTATTCTGTTTCTGTTTAGAAAAGAAAGTAAGTCATTTCTGTAGTCACTGAACTTTGAATGTACATAGCTACTCATTTTCATAGCAGTGGGATCCTGAGTGAATGTGAAGTCCGTGGAGATGGGCTGAGAACCATCTGGAGAGGGCCAGCTGCTTGGCAGAGCAAGCAGGTGCCTTAGTACATAGGTGAGCCATCATGGAAGCTCTTAGGGAATTTAGACTGTCCTTTTCCTTAGTGTTTTCACCTCAGACATTTATTTGAAGGCTCCAAAGCCTAAACAAATCAGGGAAAGAGAAAGCCTTATGAAATTACCTTTTCTAAGTTAAAGGAGGACACATGTCCCCAATAGACTATTATTGCTTTCACAGAAGAAATGAGAAGCATGGAAATTGCTCTCACCATACCCACCGGACACCCCTTAAATCTTTCAGAAGTCAAAATATTTTGCTCAACATCAAAAACAAACAGAAACAAAAGTTTCTTGGGAAGAATTTGAGTTCTGGCCATGATGTGTTTTGCAGTCAATTCCAAGGAAATCATTGCACACAGATTTCCCAGGGTCCTTTCCAGAGCCTGGTGCTTCTTCTGACTTTGATTATAGCTCTGATCCCCTCTGATGGGATCTCAGAGAGAGTGCCAGGCACTTGTCTCCAGGATCTGAGGCTGAGTGCTCAGCCTCTGGTATCAGGGCCCCTAAAGTTTGTTGTGCTAATTAAATGTGCCCAGAGAGAAGCCACCAGGAGCCCACATGCTGGCTCAGTGTTTTTCTTTGGCCTGACTAACTCTATTTCTCCAACAGCCTCCAGAGCCAGTGTGAATAATTAGGGATTTCAAGCTTTAAGAAGATGTATTTGAACTGATTCTTTCCCTTATCCCTTGTCAGCCTAGAGAAGCCTGACACAGTGTCCTTCCTAGGAGTACTAGTTCTAAAAGATGTTCATAGCTGCTCTATAAGGAGTAGGGAGGTGTCAAATAAACAGGAATCTCCAAGTTGAGCAAAGAGAAAAAAAAAAAACTATTTAACTTGCCTTCCTTCACATTTTAATAAGGGCCCCTTCTGTCCCCAAATTAAATTGATCTCCTTAGTAGGTACAGAGCAGGGAGGCCAGAGTGGCATTTAACTATCAAGAAAATTGGCAAGTACAGATCCTAGTTTTATTACAAGGGCATTTTCTCAGCTTTTCTACATTTAAGCCTACTCCACAGGCTTATTCAGAACACTCTAGTGACAGCGATGGAATAAACCTATTAGGCTTCTAACTTATGTCTACTCCAAATGTATCAGAAGCCACTGGATTCTGCACTGACTTGGCTTCTTTATAATTCTGAAATTAATAAATTTAGAATTAATAATGATTTATAATTCTGAAATTAAGTACCTTGATTCCCTTCCTTAATCAGCATGAATTTGGTCTACTGATCTACTTCCCACTCTCTTGGTGTTAACTTTTGCACATTAGGATGATGGTTTTCACTTAATTGTACATTATTTAATTTTTTTGATGTTTAAATGTTTTTAAGTGCTCTAGAGTTTCACCCCAAGAACTATCTCAAGCCAGTTGGAACCAAATTGTAGTAGGAGAAAGGAAATGAATGAAAATGGAAAAAGAATGTCAAGACAGAGAGTCACTTTGGAGTTTGTTTTTATGGGGAGATTTTATGCAGCATCCTTTCTCAGCCCCAGTAGTCTTGCTTACACTCCAACCCAGAGATGTTTATGAAGATCCCTCCCTACAGGACTCCCACATCTGTGCAAACAGCAGGCACTGCCGAGGCAGCTGGTCAGCAGTGCCACCAGCCGGAAACTCAGCACCTGAGCCAAGGAAGTTGAAAGTGACTATAGGCTTCTGAAGGACTAAAATTTATTTATTCCTGCTAGATTAGCATACTGTTTATTCTTTGTCTATCTGGGAGTTATTTGTCTATTCCTCTGTGTTTCGAATATGTGCTCCCCTTCCATACTTAGGAGCCTTCAGCTGCAAAAAATCTTTGACCATGAAGATTTGACACAGACTCACCATTAAAATAAAAGAATGCAATGTTTCATTGGGGTTGTGGCTTACCTGAGGGGAAAGAAGCAAACTGTGCCTGCCCAACTTAGGAGTCATGGTTTCCTATTTCCACTTTTTCAGATTGTATCCACGGCACGCAAGCGCCCTGAACAACCTTGGAACGCTGACGAGAGACACCGCAGAGGCAAAGATGTACTATCAGAGAGCTCTCCAGCTCCACCCGCAACACAACCGCGCTCTCTTCAATCTTGGGAATCTCCTTAAGTAAGTGGAACACCATTGATCAGGTGGCTTTGTGATTTTAAGAAACCCTTTCTTGCTGGGTATAGTTGTACAAGCCTGTAATCCCAGCAGCTTGGGCGTCTAAAGAAGGAGGATCCCAAGTTTGAGGGCAGTCAGCAACTAAGCAAGGCTCTTGTGATTTAGGGAGACCCTGTCCTCCCAAAAAAAGGGTGGGGGCTGGAGATGTGACTCTGGGTAAGCCCCTCTGGATTCAGTCCCTGGGAACCAAAAAAAAATTAGAACCCTTCCCTTCTTAATATTCAGGTCTTTTCCTGTTGTCACCTTTTCCTAGAGGTGAATAATTAGGGTTTTTAAACTTTGGGAAGCATAATATTCATCACAATTAATTCTATGTGTTTCCCAGAGTGTCTTTCTGGAAATACTGGTTCTAGGAGATGTTTGTAGAGTATAAAGAGATAGGGATTGGAAAGGGTTATATGGCCAAATAAATTTATGATTTGCTTAATTAAGCAAAGATAGTTCTTTTATTACAAGAAGCTGTAATGTGCTGATATGTCTTATGAGTCTTTAAGAAGGAAACTCGGACAGACACAGCATTTTTTAAAGTTTTTTTTTTTTTTTTTTTTTTTTTGCTTGATAAGGCATTTCCCAAGATACATATTATATAATATGCTTTGGGAAAAGCAGCGTTCTCTAAAGATGTAATTTAATGGCATATGCACAATCCCAGAGGCATGTCTGGGATTAGTAGTGGTGACTTTTGGTCTTAGGAGCAGCTCTCGGCCATGATCACTGATGTTAGATTTTTACTCACTGTCCACATAAAGGTTGGCAGTGTGATGAGTATCCTTTTGCATCTTTTGTTTTATTAAGGTAAACTCTAAGCATGTGGGTAATGGGCCGGACAATGATAATAGTAATAATAGTAATAATGGTGGTGGTTTTAGAATATAGCTCTAAACTTAAAATTTTTTAAAAATCAGAAATTGAAATTTACAAGGTGAAAATGGCTGGAATCAGAGGTAGTGATATATTTACCTGGGTATCAGAAGGCTGTCACTCCACATGCTTACTGACTAGGCTACTGAGCATGTCTGACTTCCTCTCCAGTACTGTGCAGGCTCATGGCTTACTTTGATCTTTTATCCTCTTCCTAATAGGATGGTCTTCAGTGTCTCAGTAACACAGTATGATGTCTCTTCCTTACCTTCCTGATTGCTTGTTGACTTCAACATATTTATGCACATGTTAGTCCTTTCTATTAATGTGTGTGTTTATTTAATCTCATTTGAACAGAAGCATTGGGGTGAGTTTATCACAAAATAATCTGATATAATATGAGCTGATAGGTGCCATCTAGATCTGAAGGTTTTTGTTTACAAATGGCTTTATCTGTTTGGTTCCATGGTACACACCTGTAATCTTATCAGCTTGAGAGGCTGAGGCAGGAGGATCACAATTTCAAAGCCAACCTCAGCAATGGCAATTCAGTGAGACCTTGTCTCTAAATAAAATATAAAATCGGGCTAGGGGGCTGGGGATGTGGCTCAAACCGTAGCGCGCTTGCCTGGCATGCATGTGGCCTGGGTTCGATCCTCAGATATTGTGTCTGCCGAAAACTAAAAAATAAATATTAAAGTTCTCTCTCTCTCTAAAAAAAAAAAAAAAAAAAAATTGGGCTAGGGATGTGGCTCAATGGTTGAGTGCCCCTGAGTTCAATCGCCGGTATCCCCCCCGACACACAAAAAAAGAATGGCTTTATCCATCTATTGGAACACAAAATCAAGAGAATACTATCAAATAAAGTGAAAGAAATAAAATATAGATCAACAATAAATTAATAAACTTTGCTTTTTAAATTAGTTGACATTGTCAAAGTCTGACAAAAACTGAGAATGATGAAAACCAACTGAGAATGAAGAGAGGTACAACTGCAGCAGGAAAAAAAGAAAAAAATCACTGCTACTAGGAAGCTTCCTTTAAAAATAATAACAAATCAGGCCAGGCGCACAGGTGCACACCAGCCATCCCAGAGGTTGAGATTAATCTCAGTGGATTAAAGTAATGTTAATAGCTAATATTTACATATTACCTTCATTCTACATGGTATTATCATCCTTATCCCTGTTTTATAGGTGAAAAAAACAGGACTCTAGAAAACTCTCAAGACCTTTATCTGGGCTGTGGCCAACCTAGGATTGAATCCCTCTCTTTGGATTCCTTGTCCTATTTGCTTTCTATTCCCTGTATTTCTCAAATAGTTCTATGACCCCAAACTGCACAATATTAAACTATTTAATGGCATGCAATTGCCTAACTGTCTTTCCTAAGGAAATAGTAAAGTTGGTTTATGATGCTGAAATTGCATTGCCCAGTGACAGAGAAAGGTGACCCGGAAAACAGCAGGGCTAATCTACATTTAGATAGCTCCGAACTTTACTTCTACGTACCTTAATATATTTCTGAACCAATGGCAATGGGTCAAAAGCAAGAAAAGAATAAGAATATTCTAAATATGGTATGACATGATCTATTTTACTATTTAAGATTTATGCCCTCTTTGTCTCTTGAGATAATGTTGGAATTATTACAATTCACTTTTTAGAACTGTATCTTTTCTTTTTAATAATCTAGAAGTTAATGCTCATTCTAAGAACCTAAGTTATCAAGCAGCTTAGATTTGCTCTAAGAGGAAAGCTGTGTCATTATTCTTGTTTTATAAACAAGGATCTTAAGATTGGAAGATTATGTGACAAGGTTCCTCTTCCATAAGGCAAAAGAATGGAACTTGGGTCTGTCTGACCTGGTACCCCTGACCTTAAGCACCATACTTTAGTGCCTCCTTGTGGCCCAGCTCTAAACTGCAGAGAGCCTAGAGCAGCCCAGTAAAAATACAAGGAGTCAAGCAAGTAATTTAAAATTCTCAAGAAGCCATATTTTAAAGCATAAAAAAGTAAGAGAAAGTTTAATAATACGTTTTATTTAACCCCAATTATGATTTTATCATGTAGTTAATATTTTTAAAAATTTTAAATTTATCATAAAATTTAAAATATTAATGCATTCTTCTTTATACTAAGTCTTTGAAACCTAGTATCTGTTTTACACTTATAGTCTGTCTCAGCTTAGCTGTCTATCTCAGGCTAGCTGTATTTTAAATGTGCAACAGCAACATATGGTCAGTAGCTATTATATTGAACAGTGTAGACATTTAATAATCTTGACTTTGAGAGAAATATGAGACTTTGTTCAGGCCAGAAGGTCTAAATAAGATGTGATTCTGTCAGAGAATCCTGGCAATATTGCAGCAACTCATTTGAATTCTTGGAATTATATGACAGACAGCTTTTCACAGCAGTAGACTTTACTGAGTGTTATCCAAATATATTTGGCCTCTTTCATGCCTTTTCATGGGACTTGGAAGCTAACCTATTATGATTCTGTGCAGCACATTTACAGCGTGAGAGATTGATAAGGACCAGCTTTCCGTGCCAGCATTCTTAATTTCTATTAATTATTGTTGGCTTTGCTTAGAACCTAAAACATCCAAAAAGAAGAAGAAGGAGGAGGAGGAAGAGGAGGAGTGGGGGAAGGCAAGAGAAAAGAAAATAATTTGTAAGAATAGCATGAAAACTTTATAGATGAACAGAGCAGAAGTCCCTGATGGCTCAAGAGAATGTAATAGAATATTTAAATTAGAGATATAGGAAAATATTCCTGTGAGTGATTAAATAGTTGCTTGTTACTAAAGCAGAAGATTAAAAGAACTTGTTAAAGAATCAGGTCATACCTCCCCATTACCACCACTACCTGCCATTCACATTCAAGGATAGGGGTGTTAGAATAAACCTGTTAATCAAAACTAAGAGGGAAAAATGTAATAGAATATCCAATAATTGAACTATATAAATGAATTTGATGACAACATACATTTTTACACTGTTCCTGAAGAAAATGGAACTTCTAAAGAAGTCTAGGACCCAAAAACAAGGATACTATTATCTTTATAATAAATTTGAATGTTTAGGATATGCTTCCTCACCATGTTGGTATTAGCCACACACCTTTTTTTTTTCTTCCATGAAACAAAATTTTATACATTCAAGATAATTCTGTCCTCCATTTTTTAACTGCAGCTCCAGAGTGCGCAAAATACCAGTTCAATGGATAAAGAATGCTTTACAAAGCCCTTACTGCCACCTGAGAACATCACCTGTGAGTGGCAAGTGCTGTGCTCCCCAACCACACCCATGGTGACCTGGTAGTCCTCAGGTTACTTCCCCCTTATCTCTGGTCCCAACCCACTACACTTTTCTTCCCCTCATCTCTGTCGGTCTCATATCTGTCTTGTCCCCATCTTGCAGCTTTTTTAAAAAAATATTTTTAGTTGTAGATGGACAAGATATCTTTATTTAGTTTTTATACAGTGCTGAGAATTGAGCCCAGTGCTTCACCTGTGCTAGGCGAGCGCTCTACCACTGAGCCACAACCCCAGCCCCCATCTCGCAGCTTTGTAAAGCTCAGTTAACCACGTCTGTCCTCAACACTACCAATCAGCACTATTTTGTACATTCTTCTAGACTATCAGGCTCTGGAGCTCCAGGGCAGTGACTGGCACTTGCCAACCTACACTACCATCTTCATTAGTTCAGTAATTCTGGTGATCACCCAGTTCTCCTGCTTCCTTCTCTCCAGCGCACTTCATTTCTGTTCCACAGTGGTCATTCACCAACATGGCCCTGCCACTTTCTAACCATGCAGACCTTTTGGTTCTCTAGTACCTAAATTCTGAAACATTCTTCTTTGACCTGGACCCCTTACCTCTGCTCACCCTCTCTTTCTCCCACTCTCTCCTTACTACTTCAAAGGGGTTGTAATTGTGACCTATCACCTCCTAGCTCTTCTCTGTGCTCAGTTGTCTTCTTTACCTTCTGTGGTATTATTCTCCTCTTATTTTCTCAAGCCTATTCCATACTGTCCTTAGAATCTCTGTTCTCTGATTTTTTTTTTTTTTTTTTTTT